CATCCTGCCTGGAGTGAAGATAATAGAGTGCCTGGGAGATTGCTCAATGATGATGGATTGGTGGGGAATTGCTCTTGGACCCTGAGAACAACCCTCTAGGGCCTGACAAGGCTTGTGCCCTGCTCCTCCAGAGACTGGCTTGCACAAGGACAGGACCATGATGTTGTAAAGAGCAGGTGTTGCAGACATTTGAGACTTGGAAGCCACACCTCACGTGGGGTGCGATCCATCTTTGCTGTCACTACTGATGCTTTTTGGTTGCCTGGAGCCCCTGCCCTGTGTGGTGAAGAAACACAGATATTTACAGCTCTGCAGATGTGAATAAGAGTGGGTACATTGCTCCCGCTAGGCTGTGCAGCAGCAATGGAGACAAATGCTTTCATTTGGCTGTGCAAACCTCATCCAGCTTTAGCATGTCTCCTGCTGCTGTTATTTCTTCCAGACCATGATTTGCTAAACAGCTTCCAAAACAAGCAGAAGCTGCAATTCCTGCCCCGTGGAGCTGTGGATGACAGGGATTATCTAATTGTTCAGCATTAGCAAGGCTCCCAGGTCACCTCCCTGTGTTTTTTGTACCCGACAGCAAGAAATTGCAGCCCTGGAGCTAAAGGCACGTACCCAGAGCAAAGCAGTCAGCAGCAGGACGGAGCCTGTCTGGGCTGCTTCAGGCCCTTCCTGGACACAGGCAGAGTGATGGAGCAGGGTGCCAGGGAGCCAAAGTGCCTGGGTTCCCTTCCCGACTTGCATGCTGCCTTGCTGTGAGAACTGGGCTAAGTTATTTTGTCTCCTTCCCCCCCAGGGCTCTGACTCACACGTGCTGAGCAAACAGCAGCTGGGACAAGGGACGCCAGCACTCCCACCTCACCCTGCCGGCCCCTCTGCTGGCAGTCCCAGCCCCACACTGACCAGGGCAATGAGGGCAGGCATATGTCTGTGAGCCACAGGTTCTCCAGATGGGCTTTTTAAAGCCAAATTCCCCGCCACCAGTAGTCCAGGTGGAAACCTTCACACAAGGGCCATGGGACAAGGCAGGGGAGGGCCAGGCTCAATGAGCAGCCAGACACTGAGGCTGCAGGCTCAGATCCCGCAGAAGTCCCAGCCACTTCCACTGCCAGCTCGCAGATGTCCCGGGGCTTCCCACATCACAGCAAGTCCTGCCCCACAAAGCCTGGGATGCTGCTGGGATGTGGGGTCCTGCACAATGGCATCAGTCCTGCGTAGCAGGGAGGGAACAGCTGAGGGGAGAGGGTGAGGAGCAAACCTCCCCTGTGAAGTTTCCCTGTGGATCTGGGGGCAGAAGCGACGCATCTGAGCAGGACCACCCCCCTCCAGCTCACCTCCCCGCCCCAGGCCCTGCTGGTCACAGGCGGGAGGCTGTAGCCATTAGGTGGAGTCAGACAGAAGACTCACCAGGAAATCAGCCTCTCTCCCTGTGACCTGAACGCTGCTTACTGATGAATCAGGGAAGATGCAGATTCCTGACATCCTCCCCGGTTACTTACTCGCCGTGTAGCACAGGACACATCAGTGATGCTCATGTGCGTTGGTCATGCCAAGGATGCCAGAGGTTTTGGGATGGGAAAACTCATTGTTTTCAAAGACATTTGCATGAGCCAGGCATCATGTATCTGGTGATGTCCTGCCTCATTTCCAAATGCCCTCCTTGGTGGAGACTGGCCCTTGGCTGCCTCCCCCCATGGTGTGAGGGATGAGCCAGCACTTGCTTCTTGCTGCGATCCCCTGGGAAACCGGGTGCCTTCCTTCAGCATGCGCGCCCATCCATCTCATACTCCCATGGTTCATTCAGGAGCTGGAATTGAATGAGAAGCAAATTTCCCTCTGAGCTCCTCCAGCACCGTGGTGCAGGCATCCAGGGCAGGGAGCAGCTCGCTGCTCTGAGCACCTGCACTGAGACGTGGCATCTGTCCTAGACAGACAGACAGCCTTGGCTTAGTCGCATGTAATGGCAACTCAACCGTGTTGTAAGATAAGCTGTTTCAGAGGTTAATTACCCACTCATTTCAAAATCTATGTGGATTTGTGAGGCTTTTGTAAGCCCTGACATCTCCCAGGTGAGTTCCTTTTTATAGAAGTATAAAAATAAATGGCTAAGCTTCACAAAGAGCCAGGCCTCAGGGCAAATCCAGCCCAGGATGCCTGGAAATGTAACAGCAAAGGCAGCTGTGACCCTCAGTAAGCACACAGACAGGGATGGGGACACCTCGGGTCTTGGTTGGAGACTGCCTGGTGATGCTGAGCCCGGTGTCTCCCCTGCTCCAACAGGAGGAACTGGCCAAATAATCAGCTTTTATATTTAAGAAAGCAACATGTTTCTTCTTCTCCCAACCCTATGTAGAAGAAAAAGATTTTGGTCTTTGGGATTGCTGCCAATTTTCATGATATCCTGAATGCGATTCCAGAGGAAAAGGTTTGCAAAGCAGTAATCCAAAGGTGTCCCATTCTCCCAATTCTTTAACTAAATAACAAAATATACTAGCTAGAGGAAATGTGATTTATTTTGGGGAACATACGGTATAGCAGCAGTTGGGGAAAAGTTGAAAAGCTGCTCAAATTTAATCCTTGGAAATAAGGCAGCATCAGCTCCTGAGTGTTTGTTTCTGGGTGAAATTTGTTTTATTGTTTTTTAACCAGATCTTGGAGGAAGGCTGTACAGCTCGGTCCCTCCCTTGGGAGAAACAGGGTTAGGGTTGGGGTGTGTGCGCGTGCGCAGGTAACCTGCCTAGGGGCACGCTGATGATTTCAGACTGCATTTCTACCCGCTCTTCCAACCCTTCCAGCTCACGCTTCTCTGCCCTCCCTCTCTGCCCCTGCCCATTTGGGAGCACAGATATAAACCCTCCAGCCAATATGTTTCCTCTGGGGGACTGGAAGCTTTGCCTGGAGGGTGCTCATGGCTCTTGTCACATCCCAAAGCTGTCCCTAGAGTCAGAGAAAGGCTATTTCCTGGCGGCTGCTCCCAGTGATCTCAAACCGTGGGTGCTCCTGCAGAGCTAGGGTGGCCAGGCAGGTTGTGGCTTCAGCTCTGCTGGAAACCTTGGAGCTCCTGACACTTCACCTCTCCGCGTGCTCCGTCCCAAGGGAACACAGGTAAGCTGGGCTGGGGTGAGAGGTGAGCAGTGAGCGAGCGGCCGCTGGGTGCTCTGGGTGCTGCTTTTCCCTTCCCTTTTGCTGCCTCTGCCTCATGTCTACACTGTCCCCTTGCCACCTCTTGACTGAGGTCAGCTCAGCTGGGAGATGGGCTTTACCCTCTTGGGTCTGATTCCGTTCTTACCTGGTGCAACCACTTGCATTGCTGTAAGCACTGTAACACAGAACACCAGGGATCAGGAGAGGGTCACTGCGGTGCAGATGAGCACACGGAAACACGGATCACAAAGAGTCAGACCTCAGCCCAATCTGCCTGCCATCTACTTCAGTGCTGCTTGGGGCTCAGCTGCTCTGGGGAACCCTCCAGCCTGGATCACCGAGGGGGCATTGCTAACTGGTAATTGGAAAAGAGCAATGGAGGTTTATCCACAAGTCAGTTTATTTGGTAGAAGCAGGAGGCTGTAGATGAGCTTGTTTGTGTTAGTGCTACTCCTGGCTTTATCCCTTTGAAATTCTTCTTGGGAAGAGAGGCAGAGGAAGCTGCAGTTGCCTCACACCACTGCACACCTCCTGCCCCTGCTCAGCTCTGTGGTGTTACTCAGCTGGCACTGCTGCAAACAGGGACTTGTCTGTTTCTCTGTAAGAACACCACTAGCTGATGAGTGATTTTAAGATAAACTTCCCTTCCCTGTGCTAGATTCAATGCTGAAAGGGTTTCCAAAGAGCAGAAAGCTCTCCTTTCCGACCTGTGCCTTGGGAGCTCCAGGATGCTATCGGCAGTCGTCGGTGTCACGCTGCTGCCTGCTCCCTCTGCGGAGCCTGCACTGTGCCCAGGGCTCCACCTGCTTCAGGGAATTCCTGTGGCTCTTGCATACCAAATACCCAGCCACTGGGGTTTGGACAGTGTTGCCAAACACTGCTAAGCTTGGCATCCATCTCTTTAGCTGTCCGTCAGCCGCTCCAACAGCTCTAAAGCCTCAAGAATTTGTAACAAAATGTGGCAAATGAGAAACTTGATGAAAATTTTACTTTTCCAGAGGAATTAAAGAGGGATGAGAAATGATGCGCACATTGAGAATGGGGAAGTCTTTAGCACGGGGAAGAAAAATTAAAAAAAAAAAGTCAGATTTTTTTCTAGAATCCTGCCTTTAAATGCAGCTTCTGCCTCTGCCAGACGTCCTGGAGCTCCTGCAGTGTGGAGCCACCCAGAGCACGAAGCTCTGATGCCTTTCACCAAGCTGCAAGGATGGGGCTTGCACAGGAGGCACACGCAAAGGGAAATCACTGCTGGCAACGAGACATCCCTGGGCCTTTGCTCTGTGCCCCAGGACTCTGGGAACACCCAGGGACGGTACTGGTGCTCGCACCGCGCAGGACGAGCTCCAGCCCTGGGGAGGATGCTAAGAAACAACTAACAAGGACAGAGCCAATGAGCAATAAACCCTGCGGAGCTCCACTCCCAAAAGGTAGCGCACAGCCCATGAGGTGTGGGGAAGTCCTCTTGGCAGCAAGATCTGAGTCATAAAGAAAGTGAAGTGGAGGGAGAAGACAGGGTGACAAGGGCAGGGCTGAAATGGGGAAGCATGATGTGGCAGAGATGACCCCCGCCAAGGGATGTTAATGCCGTGGATGGGGCTGCAGCAACCGTTCCCAGGCTCAGAGTTCAAGACCATTTCCTAGGGTAATTTGTTACTCCTGATCGTGAGGAGAGAGCAGGAAATATCTGCAATGTGATACATGCTGGGAAGAGGATGAGTCTTTTGTAACAGGGTAAGGATGCTGTGCAACACGAGCACACGTGTGTGCAAGGGGCAGGCAGGCAGAGCACATCTCCCCTTTCCCTTTGGGTGTGCAGTGCGCTCCTTCCCCAGCTGCATGACTAACCTGCTCCTCTTCCTTCTGCAAAGGCAGCCCAACGATGCCGAGCATATTCTCCTACCAGAGCGCCGAAATCGACTGGTGTGAAGGCAACTTTGAGCACTCGACGGTCATTGCAGAGTACTACAACACTGTGAGTGCAGGCGCGTCCAAGGGGCAGGCGGGGGCGTGAAGGGGGACGGCTGCGGGCACCCAGGAGATCTAGCTGGGAGATGTGACGGGACAGACTTTTTTCCTCTCCTGCTGCTTGCTCCTCTGAATGTACCTGTGTTGGAGGGTGTTTCTGCAGGGAACATTTTCTGAGCTTCAGGTAAATCATGGGGCTTTCGTTGTGTACTACAGGCAGCTGCCCGCCAAGCGGGCTGGGGCTGGGGATCCTTTGGGCACGCGTGGGGCTGAGTTCCCACTGAACAGTCTGGCATTGCTCCTTAGCCCAGATTTGTGAGATCCTGTTATACCAGTCCTGCAGCTCTCCTGCCAACTGGGGTAAGTCCCACACAGGGCTCATATATTCCAGTTAAACATACAGGAGTGGCAAAACGAGAGACAGTGCTTGCATGAACCGTGTCGGGCAGGTTGGGAATCCGGAACTCCAGGCAGAGAAAAGCTGATGAGTGAGCCAGTTTCACCTCCTGTGATCCCCTTTGTAATCCAAGCTCCATCCAGCACCAGTCCCTCGAACGCAGCCCCCTGGCTTAAGGTTGGCTGGATGCGCCTGCATTTGTCTGAAAAGGACTCAGTAGATAACTGCTGTCCGCAAGCGCGTCCCTCTACCTTAGTACAATTATGGGCCGGCAGGGGTGTGAGGCATGTGGATTTACAACCTTCCAAAGGCCTTGTTTACAACCTGTAGCAGTTACTGTCTAACGCTAGAAACTTTTTGTTTCTCATGGAAATATCTTTTTCTTTTTTTCTCTCTCTCTTTTTTTTTTTTTAAAAAAAAAGCATTTCCTGCTTTTAATAAATTGTCTATAGTAATGATAATTCCTACACCTGAATCCCGCAGCTCCCGAGCTCTAATTGCCCTGCTGGGGTCTCAGAGGAGGGATGCTCACATTGTGTCTAGTCCCTGCTCTTTGAGACAGTTAAAAATAAAGATCTGCCGGTCCAGACCAAATCCTGCTCCCCTCCAGCATCCATCTGAATGTGGTGTGCTGATACCTGTTCACTGGCACTTCATCCCTGCTGGACGGGTGCAGAGCTGCAGAGCAGGGGGGGGGGGGGAGGGCGGGGGGGGGCAGAAATCACTGATACACACTGCAGCATGTCAAATGTAGCTGGAGATGCCAAATGCCTCTGAGTTTTGGAGTCTTGATGGCAACATTAGAGAGGGGCTGATTTCTGCAGGAAGTCTGAAAGTGAGACTTTTGAAATCAGAATTCATGCTGGGAGATATATTTGCCTAAGCTCCAAGTTTAGTACACACGCAGCATTTTTCAAATGTGTCTTTGGAGCTGAGACCTCATTCTCACAAGGATCATGATTTACACCCAGCCTGTCCAAGTGGCTCAGAATCCTTAACACACCAAGAAGCATCTCAGGAGCTCACCAAAAACCCCTCACGTGTTTGACTTCCCTGCAGCATACTGCTGGACACCAGTCGGTGTGTCCAGATGCATAACTATTTTCTTGGGACTCAAAGTCCTCTAATTCCCATAAAACATTAACTCTGGGTTGCTCTGTGACAAAGGCTTTTGTGAGCTGCTCCTGAAAACCTTATCCCGGTGCCTAGTTCCGGACTGAGGTCCCTACTAGCTGCAGCCATCCTCTGTGCCTCCACACTATACCGGCATCGAGCCACAGGCTTGTCGGGATGAATTTCCATGTGGCAATACTCAGACACAGCTTCCCTCCAGGACAGGAAAACTTGTCCAACACACTTCTCCGCACAGGTGCAAAATAGAGCAATGATAAGCCATGGAGCTATGAGGGCAGAGCAAACCTTGCAGGATTTTTTCTGGTATTAAACTAGCCCTTGTTCCTGTTCCTCCCTGATCCTTCTCCCCAGCTGAGAAAGGGCTTCTTTTGTCCCTGTGCTGATCTCCTTCTTGCCAGGTTCGCTTTTACCATCCCAAGGAGCTCAGCCAAGTGCCTGTGCAGTGGAGGGTACCACTCCTGCAGTTTCTGGCTTAAGATGTGATTCCTGTTTAGGGAAGCAGCAGAGATAGAGATGTGCCTTGCACCAGGGCTGGTGTGTGGTCTTCTCTCCAAGCAAAGGGAGAAAAAAGAGCAACTCTTCATGAAAGTGCTGCTGTCTGAGCATCTGACAGCATCCCCCAAAGCTACGCCATGCTCAGGGCCAGACCTGGTAACCAAAAGCAGGAAGGATAATCACCAAATGGGCATCACCCCTCAGTCCATGTACACTGGCTGGCATTGCCTGGCTCTCAGCCTTGCAGCAGCACTGGGGAGCCCCCTCTGTGCTTCAGGCTCCCTCACACAGCCAGGCTCCTTGCAATGTGCCCTAACGAGGGGACTACAGAAATCAGACCAGGCTGAGATCTTCTGCAGGCCCTGTCAGCTGGCAGCATGCTGCAGACCCAGCATGGGCTCAGGGCACTGTCTCAGATGTGATCCCAACTGCCCTGGTCTCCCTCCCTTCTCTCCTCCATTCATTTGGTACCCACGTTCAGATTGCTTCCTCCCTGCGGCAGGCTTTATGGGCCTTATCTCCCTGCTCTGCCTGGAGACAATTATCTCAATATCGACTTCAGCATCGGCTTGCCAGAGTTTTAGACGAGCTGGGAATCCAGCCAGCTCCTACCCAAGGCTCCTGCACCACTAAACCAACGGGGCTTCCTAATGGAGCATCCTCTGCAATGTCTTCTTCCCAATGCTGCCTGGGGCTCAAGTCGGGTAGCTTTGTGCCAGCAGCAGCAATGTGCTGCTGAGAATTGCTCTGTGCCAGCCGCACTCTCTCTCAGCCCTGCTTGGATTGGATGCTTTTCATTAGAAATAAGCACTGGGGGTATGAGCAGAGAATGTAAACAATATCATTAAGTCCCTAATAATTAATACTTTGTGGCTCATGATCATACTGCAGTTCAGCAACACAGTGCCAACTATTTATAGTGAATCAGTGACCCAGAAATTTATTGTCTTCTGGCTGTTTGTAGGAGAAAAGTATTGTGCTCCATGAGGGTCATCAGTCAGGGACCTGTCATTCTACCCTCCTTTCTTTCCTGAAATGACTGATGAGGATGCTGGTAACAACTTCTAGATCCTCAGCAGTTTCTGGCAAAGCAGCAGGAGCTCTGACACTGCTGCATATCCAGAGCTCCCGGACATTTCATCAATCAATGCAGATAAACCCGACTGCAGGTGCAAATCACCCAGATACGCCCAGAGAAGCACTCACTTTCAAGCGTGTCAGAGCTGTGCTGTATGCCCTGGCTCCCTGCACGATCCTGTGGCGGTGCGGACACCTCCCGTGCTCGCCTGCCCAGCAGCTCCTGTGCAGAAGGGCAGCTCCTTGCCCCCCACGCTGCACGCTGTTCCTGCCCCAAAGCACTGGCGTGACACTGCAATGGCAGGGCAGACAGCCTCAGCTTTGCCACGCAGGGCTGGCTATTAGGAACTTGCTATACAGGTCTGGATAGCCTCTGAGATACTAGCTTCTGTCTTTGGCCCCATGGGCTTTTCTGTTAGCTAAAGCTGGTTTGTTGGCCTTTAAGAGTATGAGTGCGCTCCAATGAGGCTTTTAGAAATATCCTTTCACTGCAGAAAACCACAGGATCAGAGAAGCATGGAATGGTTTGGGTTGGAAGGGACCTGGAAGCCCACCCCATCCCACCCCTGCTATGGGCATGACCCCTCCAGCAGCCCAGGCTGCCCCCAGCCCCATCCACTGCACCTACAGCTCCTCGGGGCATCCTGCACCAGGGAGGGCCTCACTGCCCTCAGGGGGAAGACTTTCTTACTTCCATCTCATCTAAATCTCCCCTCTTTTCATTTCAGGCCACCCCCCCCCCCCTCTTGTCCTATCCCTACACGTCCCTGACACAGAGTCCCTCCCCATCCCTCCTGCAGTCCCTTCAGGCACTGGAAGGCAGCTGTGAGTTCTCCCCAGAGCCTTCTCTCTCTGAACGCCCCCAGTTCCCAGTCTGTATTTGTAGCAGAGCTGCTCCTGCCTCTGGGTGTTATTGAGGTCCTCCTCTGGACCCAGGCTGCTATTGCCCCCTTGCCATGCTCACAGGGCACATAGAGCTCTGCAAACCAGCTCCTGCTGTCCCAGTCCAGATCAGAGGCTCGTTCTCACCCTGCTGTGGATGGAAAAGCAGACAGGTTCTCTGCAGGTCTCTCCCTTCCTTTAAGGCTGCACAATGTGCATCACACAGACTTTGGGGCCTTTCCCATGATCCTGTTAATGCACCAGGATTAGACCCATGTCACTGATCCCAGTCTTGCTTTGCTCCTAGTGAAAGAAGCAAATGCCAGCATAGGCTTGGCTCAGGCACCTGGAACAATAACTCACACTCATTAGGAAGTGGGACACGGCTGTGCACTCGCACAGTTGTTTTGCAGGGCTGAGTAGCTCTTGCACATCAGTTCATGCCTTGGCTCCGGCACCAATCTCTTGTCTCCCATCCAGGGCAGGTGGAGTGAGCTGCTGCCTCCCGACCAGAGTGAGCCAGGTAGAAACAGAAGCTGTGCTGGGGTGCTAAGGGTGAGCAGAGAGTCTGGAAAAACTTCCCGGTGCTTGCACTGGGAGTAAATTCCTTCCAGACAGATTAGAGATGGAGCTTGCCACATCTTAAAGGGATGATAAAACACAGAATTTGCAAAATCAGGGCTAGGATCTGATGAGTGATGAAGACCCCATGTCACCCCCAAGCTGCGGTTTTCTAGCGGTTCTCCCCTAAGTTCTGAGCCTGGCTGCTCCATGAGGAATTACTGCAACCTCCACAGCTCTGCTGGCACAGTTCCCCTGGTTATCACTCCCTTCTGATATCTGATCTTGCGCTTCTCATACGGAGTTAATGAAGCGATAATGTTGCTATCATGTAATTAATGGCACTGTTGCAATGCCCACTGCAGCAGGGATTCAGACCTCCCTATATGCAATCTCAAATTCCTGCATTTCCTCACTTTGTTGTGCATGCTGGCACTTGCACTGTTGCCTCTTCTGCAAGCATTTGCTTTCTTTTTGCCATCCCCACTTGTTTTCCAAAAACATCTTTAACCATTTCACAGGAAAAAAAAAAAAAAAGTATTTGCAATGCAGTTTTTACTTTAATATGCGGTTTAATTTCTTGATCATTTCCAAAATGTTTGACCTCAAGTGTGCAAGTGGGATCAGCACTTCACGTCTCATAGCTGGAAAGGACACAGGCCTGGATTTGGCTCTTAAGCACCTGTAGAAAACCAATACATTTGGCTTGAGAATTGCTATTAATAGGCACATCAACTCGTTTTGTGAAAACCACAGTGAAATTCAAGATTAATCTCTGTGTGTTAAAGGGAATAGAGGCCTTACATTAAGTGTGAAATGTGCTTCCCCCTGGAATATGAGAGGGTGTGTTTCATACGTATGACAACATCCCTGTGATTTGCAGCCCTCTTACCGTAAACTCAGATCCCACGGGACACCACAAGCCAAGCTTCGATTTTGCAATTTACCTGGAGTATGCCAGGGCTTCTGAGGGGTGAGACTCCAGCTGTGGGGTCAGATTCCAGGCCTGGGGTCTGGGACGGCGTCTGGCTGGAAGATGAAAGGAAAAGGATTGGCAGGGCGAGATAAAAGTCATCCTGGTGGCTGGCCAAATGGCACCACAGCAGATGGCTCTGCCCTGCTCTTCCAAAGCCCCACAAAGCTGTCTGCAGGTAAAACGTGGTACCAGAGACCCAACCTTCCATGAGCAGTAAAGGTTTCCCTTGGGGAGCTCGAACTTCCCTGTGACATCCCCTTTACTGGGTTTGCACAATCAAGCAAAAGTGCCAAGCTAAGAACCCACAAAGGTAAGGGAACTTCCAAACTTCTTTCCCTCATTGCTGCAGGGTGGAGAGTGCCTGATCCAGCAGATGGGTCCAGGCTTTGGGCACTCCCTGCTCCTCCCCAGCTCCCACATTTTCCCCATCAGCGTTTGCTGTTCCCTGAAGCACTGGCACTGTCAGCAGCAGGCTGAGCCCCAGCACCATCTCCTCTGCCCCAGACAGACCGAAGCCTGTCAACGAAGCAGTTTTTCAGAGGTAGCAAACAGGGACGAATAATTCTGCTGCGTTCATTTGCAAAGTATGTTCAAAGGAGGTTTATGACTTCACATAATTACTGGTGTCCGGAGTCCCTTCCCCTCCAGGCCACGTGGCTTTGCACCTGCAAAGAGGGTGGCACCCAGGTCCAGCTCCCACCTCTGATCTGCTGGTCCTGCACCCACGCCTAGCACACGATGGTTCCCTGGCTGCGGCTGGCAGCGTGGCCCAGCTCCACATGCCCACCAACCCCTCGCAGTGGGGTGGCTGCTGGCCAAGGGGGAAGCAGCCAGCTAGGGAGCTTCTGGCACACCCATGACACAGGAGATGGCTGCAAACAGAAGAGCCATGGCTTGAATACACTGGGCAGCCAAAGCTGAACCATCATCGGAAAGGGGCACAGCAGCTTCCCCTGGGCTTGCTGTCCTCAGAGTTACTTGCACAGAGGGCACAGCCCTCTTCATCCACCTGTCACAGCAATAGCTGCCCTTCCAGTTCCAGCCTTGCTTCTCGAGAAACACCTCTGCCCTACTCCTGTGCCAAGAGCAATACCTGCCTCTACGCGATGCTTTCCACGAGAGATCAGTATCCTCTTCTCATGGGGAGATATGGAGGCACAAGGTGGGATGGGACTTGCCCAAGATCATGCAATACGCTGAATGTGTCCCTTGTTTTCCAGATCAGCAATGTAAGCTTCTTTATCCTTTCGGCTGCCCTGCTCTACCTGAACCGGCAGTACTGCCAGCAGCGCGCTGTGCCGATGTACTTCATCTCTGGTCTGCTCCTCTGTGTAGGTGAGTGCCAACATCATGAGATCAGGCAGGTGGACAGAGTACCTGACCATTTATCCATGATACCTTTAGCTTTGGAGACTGTTTTTTAGCAGCCAAAGCACAGGAACGATCTGGGGTGGGAAACTGAACAGCCATTTCCGTGTGAAGCCCGGCAGCTCATGGCTCCCACTAGCTGTGGGCACACAGCTTCCAGCCTGGTAAAAATCCTGCGGTGCTCTGTGAACAGACTCATTCAGGCCTCCATCCATGCCGAGGTCCATGCTCTGCCCTTCAGGAATGGTGTGTCTTCAGGAATTGTCCCCAAGCACTTCCCAGGCCAGGTGGGCTTCTGCTAGCACAGAGTTTTTCTGACACAAGCTGTCCTTGCTCCTTACAGGTGTCTTCTCCATGTACTTCCACATGACTCTGAGCTACGTGGGACAGCTCTTGGATGAGCTCTCCATCCTCTGGACGCTGGCTGTGGCATATTCCTTTTGGTACCCAAAGGTTTACTTCCCCAGGTGCATTAAGAGCAGGTATGACTCGTTGGGACACAGCAGCTGTCTTCATGAAGCTGTGCAGACTTTGCAGGAACGGTTTCAAAAGACAGAGATTTGGGCAAGCTGCTCCTTGCAGGTGGTGTGGCTGGAGTGGGCAAGCCTGGGGCTGGCTCTGTTAGGAACACGGAGATTGCTCCTGTTTGTGTAAATTTTTGGAGGGGAGCACAGAACCATCTGGGGACATGCAGGACCTGGGGGCTTTATACCAGCTAGGAAATGAGTGTTCCTGAGCACTAACATTCAATTACCCACACTGACTAACTGTCACAGCATCCCCTGCCATCCACAGAGAGCTTTCCCTGAAGGTTAATGGGGTTTCCTACAGGCCAAGCTGGTACAAGATAATACTCCATCGTTGCAGCAGGGCTGGCTGGGCTAGGGCAGCTCAGCAGGATGGATGGGGAGACCGGGAGAGCACAGATTGACAGAAAGAGGAGCTCAGCAGGGGTTTACTAGGAGGATGCTCCCATCCTGGCAGGCTTGCTGGAGCCTTCTGAGCTAGCCCAGAAGCCTCATAAAAGCTTGCTCTGAGTATGCTCCTCCCATGCCAATGAGGAGGTCACCAGGAGTTCACTGTGGAGACATGGCTGGGGGAGTCAGGGAGAGGGAAAGGGACTTGGGAAGGGATTTGCATGTGAAAGCCCTCTCTGAGCCCCATTGTTGTTCAGTCAGCCCGAATCTGCATGTTTGCACTGCCGAAGCCCCACTTTGCAACCCTTCCCTGTGCAAAGCTCCATGCCTCTGCCTCCATGCCTGTCCCTGGCATCACCACAACAGGCCACAAGTCTCTTCCTGGGCTGTGTTCCCAGCTCTTCCCTGGACTAACCGGGGGACCTCTGGCAGAGCACTTTACTGCTCATTTATTGAGAAAGAGGGAGCAGATACCCCAGCCTTCCTGCCAGGCCATGTGCAAACAGATTGGAGGTGCTGGAGGGTGGCTTTCTCTCTCAGGCAATGACCAGGACCTCTCCAATCCTTCACCTGCTGTACTGCACACCCTGGGGACACTGAAACTCACTCTCAACTCTGTCTGCTCTGTCTACCCTTTAGGAAGCATTTCTTCTGGTTAAGTGGTGTCACCACTGTGGTCAGTACCTTGATGTCCTTCATCAAACCAGCCTTCAACGCCTATGCACTCAACTGCATCGCCTTCCACCTGCTGTACCTGACATGGTGTGAGCTGAAAAAGTAAGGAGGAGGTTGAGAGGTTCATCTACAGGTCTGCTGCTTGTTCCTAGCATGCTGCCACATGGCAGGGACTCTGCACAGCTCAGTGCACAACAGTGAATGGGTACTTCAGGCACATGTTGGACTATCAGCTCTACAAAGGATGAGGGCAGCCTGGGAGGGACCTGCAGCTTGTTCCCCTTTAGCCTGAGACTTGGGAACCAGTGTGGGGTTGGGGGGAACCCATCAGGATCCATGAAGAAAGGCAAAGGTGCACCAGCATCTCTGAGCATCATCCTCAACCACAGAAAGTCAGAAACCCTCTCTCCAAAGCCACACTTCTCCAGTTCTTGTGGTCTGATGAATAGTCTCCAGCAGAAAACCACTGAGTTCTGCCCTGTTGCATTAGTACCTGCAGCAAGAACTTGCCAGCCCTCTTTCCTTCCAGCACTCACTTTCTCTCATTTTCCTTTCCTTCTCCCTCTCCTCTCACTGTGTCTTCCAGGTGCAATGACAAACGGGTTCACCGGATGGCTGCAGCCATGGTCGTGTGGTGGGCACTGGCCATCACCAGCTGGTTAAGTGACAGGTGGCTTTGCTGGCTCTGGCAGGCGATCAGCTTCCCCTACTTCCACAGCTTCTGGTAAGAGCTCCAGTGGAGAGGCAGGAAGCCTAGCTCAAGCATTTCAGGAGCTGAAGGGGCACAGAGGATGAGGAAGGGCAGGAGAGATGTGATACTTGACTAAGAAGCAGCTGTATCTCTGCCCAGCCCTCTCCCCTTTCCTCTGTCACTATCAATGCTGCTCCTCACCCTGGCCTCAGCCCAAGGATTTGCTTTAATCACTGCTTAATATCCCTTACCTCCTCCACACCAGCCAAAAGGTGTTTTGCAAGTGAAATTGTTCCAAAACTGCTCTAGCTAAGCTTCTTGCTTTCAAAACACTGCATCTGCTCCCAGGTAGCAACGTCAAGTGCAATGTTCTTTACTTTAATATCCAAACTGAAAGACAGTTATTTGATTGAGCAAGATGTTTCAGCGCCTTACCAAGTGTTGCTGTAAGTGCCATGCCCAGTGTGCATTTTCAGATTCGTTCTCACAGATCACTGGGATGACTGGGCTGGATACCCAGACTGAGCTAAGTTAGGCAAGGTGAAATGGGTGGTTTGGTCTGGGGTTTAAGTCCCATGTATCACACCATCCTCTCTGTGCAGAGAATTGCCCCAGCCCACAGAGCTCCTCTGGGATTTCCCCATAGGCATGAGCCCTGCAGGACCCGCATTTCCTGCATCTCTAATGTGCATAATGGGTCTGTGAACTTTGCTGGCCATTGCCATACCTCCTGGCTGTAGCCTCACAGTGACAGCACCAGGCATACACCGTCACAAGGTGCATGAGGAGCAGGCAGAGTTACCCAATCCCACACATGTCTTTTGGGGTTTCTTGCCAGGCACGTGCTGATAGCTGTGTCCCTCCTCTACTGCTTCCCGCTGGTCATCTACTTTGACGTCAACTACGAGATGCCAACATTCAAACCAAAGCTGGGATATTGGCCCAGTGATTCCTGGCCTGTCGTGGTGCCTTACAGTTGCCCTGGAGGAGCCGCACAAGCAGTGCTAGAGCTGGCTGCCTTCAGGTGTCCCACGGGCATGGGGTGCGTGATGTACACACATGCATCTGCATGAGGAACACCTCGGCTGTGTGCCTGTTCCTCAGAAAAGGGCAAGGTGGCTAGTGGATGGGGCAGGGAGCAGCTGAGGCCTCGTGATGCTGGGCATGGAGGAGGGTGGGAGTCTTGGAAGTCTTGGAAGACTGCTCAGAGCAACCTCTGGGATCTCCTCCTCTGGCAGATACCCCTGAGAAGGGGAGGGAGACAGTGCTTCTTCTGTGTCTTCTGCATTAGTCAAGCTGTGGCACCCCTTGCTGACAAGGGCACAGCTGAGAAGACAGAAGCCAAACTGGTGACAGATGGGTTTGTTGGGGCTGCTCTAATTATTATTATTAATTTTATTTATTGATGGATGTGGTTTTGCTCAGGAGAGCTGTGCATTAAAGAAATGGACACTGACTTGCACTGAGTCCCTTCCTTTCCCCTGACTGCACCATATGCCCCTTTATCTGGCAGCCACTCAAGGCAGCTCATTCTGATCTGGAGAAATCCTCCTGAGTGACAGCCCAAGAGGCTCTGCTGGCCTCTTAAGATGCTCTACCCTAGGCTCTACCCCTTCTTCAGCCCCTCCAGCCCTTGTTCCTCCCCAACTCTGACAGCTCCCACTGTGTAACTTGGACACTCCCCTGCTCACCAAAAATGCTGGCTGGTTGCAGAGGGTGAGGTGAGGAGCTAGAATATTAGATAAATGTGCCAGCACAATTGCAAGGACAGAGAGAAGATGTAAAGCCCCAGAGAAAGACCATTGCTTTGCCAAGGGTACAGAGCGATACTTTCCAGGTTCTCCACAGAACATGATGGCAAAGAAGTTGCTCCTGTGGCTGTGGGATGTGCTCTTGTTCTCTGAGCCTTGCTGCATTACAGGGACAAGTTGAGCCATGTCAGGGGCCTGGGGCCTTGCACAGTTGGTGGGGACTCTAGTGGGCACCAAGAGGCTGGCTGAGGTTGGCTCTCTGCAATACAGCCACAACAAGGTAATGTCACTCTGGGGAACCACAGGCTTTTGGGGTAAAAGTAAAGCAAAAGCAGAAGCACGTTGGGCCTTGCCCCGAAGAAGATGGCGCTGCACAGCCCGCTGCAACACAGGTTGCTCGGATGCCTCATGGGTCCCTCTGCAATGGTCCCCAGAGCCACTAGATGGCAAGTTTGGCCCATGAACCCCGGGCAATATTTCATTTTTCACCCTATGCAAGGGCTGAACCCCACAGGCCTGGTCCCCCTGCCATCCTTGTCCCCTGCGGTGGGCACAGCCACCTCTTCACCAGCACAGCCACCACCGAGACACTGGGCCGGGGCACCCAGGGCCCGGCCTTTGTCTGCCCTCACCTCCCACTCCCTCGGTCAGCCTCTTTGTCTCTCCCGCCTGCTCTTGCCTCTCCCCCATCACCCTGTTTCCCTTTCACTCGCCCTCCCCGCTTCGCTCCCACTTCTCCCCCTGCCTCAGCCCTTTCCCCAGCCCATCACATTCTTCTGCAGCCTATTAATAACTTCTGGGCAATTGCACCGGGTCCCTGCTGGGCCCGGCCCCTCCGCTGCCGCAGTCCTGTGCAGCCACTGAGCGTGCCGGCAGCAAGTTCAAAAGTGCAGCGGGGCTTTCACAGCCCTGCTCCCCGTCAGGGGGTGGAGGAGGCCGCTAGTGAAGAAAGGCCGTGTTGCCAGGGAGCCTGGCACAGGAAAAGGGGGTCACCTTCGCCTCCAAGGGGGACCAACAGAGATGGACGGGCGCCAGCAGCCTGGGGATGCTGAGAGCCACGCAGAGATGGAGGCTGAGGCACGGGTGAGGAGGGCAAATTACCCCACCAGCCAAGGAGTGGGTGAGATGCTCTGGGGAGAAACCCAGCAGCAAAATCCCCCCTCCCCGTGTGGTATGGTAATAAGGGAGGTGTCCCAGGCACCGCTGCCTCGAGAACAATGTTGCTGCAGTTGAGTGACTGTAACAGGCCCCGATGACAGCCGGGGCCACGTTAAAAATGCCTATTCAAGCAGATCAAGACATTGAGAGGCCTCATGGGGATCTGAAACCCTCAGGGATTTCTGGATGAAGCCAGAAGCTGAATCCCCAGCCCTGGGAACCTGGGAGGGGAGGGTGTGGAGGTGCAGGGGGAAGAGAGAGAGGAAAGAAAAGAAACCCACAAAACAGCTTTAGAAGGACTGCAGTGCCCAAGGCAGGGCCTCCTGCTCCAAGTGGGGCCACAGCCTGAGAGTGAAGCTGCCCTGACACCGGTATGTGACTGCGGTCCGCGCATGCCAGTGCTGCTCAGGGTTCTCTGAAGCTAGTCTCGCACCTCCAAAATGTCCCTGAGCTGCAAGCGAACACCCTGCCCTTCCTGCCAGGGAGCTACAGCTCCCAGCTGCGAGTGCAGCTTGCACTGCAGAGCCGACAAACACCCCATAAAAATGAGTTGTGGTATTTCTGAGTGAAAAGGGGTCCCGCGGGAATGACCGGCATGATGGAGGAGTACGGCTGAGAGCCCTCAAAGGACTAAAGGCAACACTGGCCCCTTCTTGACCCCCCAAATCCCTGGGGAACTCTGGGGGTGCCCCTGAGCCATGCCTTGCTGGGTGCAAGCAGCCAGCACACTCAGCAAAGCAAAGCAGGAAATTGGCAGGGCAGGAAGAGCTGCAAACCCACGCACTCGGGCTCTGAGTTAGGACTGGTCAAAATTAAACCCTTCCTCCCCTTATTTCTGCCAGATGAGCCTTAACCCGGATCATTTTCCTGCTTTGGTTTGCCATGTGGCTGCCTCAACCACAAGAAAAGAGGCAAGAAACGGAGCAGGAATGAGGAAGAGGGCAGAGAGGCTGCTGCTTTCAACTCATTCCAGATTAAAGAGGTTGTGAAACGGCAGCATCAGTTGAGTCTATTTGGTGCAATTGCAACACAAATGAACTAATAATGTTGATAACACACCAGTCCTGCAGGATCAAGGATTAACATTTACCTGTTCTGCTGCACCAAATTGCCTCCTGCTGCTATAGATTTACACTGCAGGATTTGGCCTGCAGACTGGAAACTTTTCAAGGCAGAGTGATTTATCTGTAAAGGACATTGCACATTCAGGGACCTACATAAATAATGCAAAATTATTTAATAATAACCTGGCCCCTGCTCTTAACAATGACAGGAGAAGAAATTGCTTCACTGGAGTGCCTCTTGTGCCTTTTGCAAAAGATCTTTATTTGCTAACTGTCTCAAAGAGAAAGGAAAACAGTAGTTTTGAAACACGGAAAGGATGTCGCTAAGTTCTGGGATTTTATTGCAAGCCTGGCAATCTTTATGATTGACTTAAAGAACCCTTTTTCTGAAGTCATATTAAAATAACATTAACTCATCTTAAACTTTTTTTTCAGTTTTGATCTCCTAGGTCAGCAGTCAAAGTTTGAAAGCATGACTGCAAATGGCTGCGAAACTCAGGAAGGAAAGGGATAGGCTTGAAGAATTATTACCACGAAAAGCCTTGTCCTTTCGATTCTAAGTGCTACTTTTGAGATTTGACTCAGGATTTCCAACTCAGGGGCTGGCAATTCTGTCACGCCCACATCACAACTGCTAGGAAAAAAATGTCTATTTTTTTCACTGTTTTACCTATCCACTTTTTATATAAGACAAAACTAGCTGTAGGGCCATAATCAAATACCAGGATTTTCCATATTAGTGGTTATTCTGGACAGATGAAAGGTTGTGTCCTGATTAGGTGAAAGTCGTATTTCAATGAACATTTTGTACCCTTGTTTGCGGCAGTCAGGGTCTTGAGGTGCCCTGCCTATGTCTTTCTGTGTTAGCTCACACAGTTGCTGCACACATAATCAGGGCCAGTTTCAATCAGTGATCATAGAGGAGACGTGGGTAAATGTTGTCCCTTAGTAAGGAGAAGCATGGCTGTTACATGGTCAAATAAACCATTTGACAAAAATGATTTTTGATTAAAAGATTAAATGATCTTTTCAGCTATTTCTATAAAGCCTCATGATTTGGTTCCACTTAGAAACACATTTTTCAGTGTTCTTTTCAGAAGAAAACAAGCAGTTCACATTTGTCTGATAAAGTGGTTTCACATAACTTCAATTCTCTAGTAATGGCTGCTATCAAAATACGTAAAATGGAAGGATTAATTTTTCTGTGCCTTCATGTTACAGCTCAGAACATGGTGTCAGTTAGGGCCATTCTCCATTTTTTCTTGTTCACTTTCTATGAACATTCAGTCACTTGGGTTCCAATTCATCACCTCACTTAAGCATGTTTCTCTATAAATGTGTTTAAAACTAAAATTGAATCAGGTTGTTCTCTTGAAATGGTACACTTAGTTTCACTATCATGCATGTTTAACAAAAGGAAAAGATTTATCTCAAATTCTGAAGTATTTACCAAAAGCAACATCCAATTGTGCACCAGGTTATAAAATTCACAATCTGCATCTGATGCTGCATTGATTTAGACAGGCCTTCCATAAGAGACCAGATGTCTCAGTTCACTAAAATGCTTAAGCATATTTTTAATTTTAAGAATATGAATATTTCCATTGATATCAATGGCACTTGCTTACATTTAAGAATACATTTTGCTGGGCTGAAGCCAGAAATAGTGCCATGTAATGCCAATAAAGTGCAAACTGCAATATTTCTCTAAGTGCTTTCTGGGATCAATCTAAAAATGAATCAACGAAGAACTGTAATGTGAAAACTCAAAAAATTAATATATGTGAGATTTTGTTGTTTACTATCCTAATACTGCCAAGCACTAACATCCACCAGAATACTGCCAAGTGAAATCAAAACCAAATCTGTGAAATGGAACAAAAATGGCAACAAGTTGGATTTCTTATTCATCATGATTCATCCTATCAGACTTAAAGATTCACTAATGTAACACAATAACATTCGACATACTGACAGAAGATTACAGAAGAATACAGAGATTAAAGACAGGGTCTGACCCCATTTGAACCACCCTTAATGTGCAGTAAGACTATTCAGCTCAGAGTATCTGTCCAGGCTGAAGTGGATGCTTGAAAGAAAGAACAGGATCTTCTCTGTAACGTTTGGCACAGAGAAGAAGTGTGTTGAACAAGGATAATATTTAATGATCAAAATATCATAAAAGGTCATTAAAAACACGATTTTGCTCTCTGGCTTATTGTGCCTTACCTTTCACAGGACTCTATGAATTACCCTGTTATGAAAAACTGATGAAAATATCTAGACACCAAACACTTTAGTTATTTCTTTTTGTTCCCATAACTTTATTCATCATGAGCCCAACAGTACTGCTGTTGCCAGTGACCCATGTAGACCTGGGACATATCCCTTATTCCCCTATGATGGTATCATTATACAAACAGCTATATATCCATATGCAAATGATTGCTGTTTTCAAGCTGTT